TTTAAGGGGCCTCTAAAAAAAAAGCTCAAATCTTGTCACAATCCAAAACCTTTCAAATTCCTTAAAGAATAGAATAATTAACCAACCGTCATAATAATTCAAAACCCTTCAAATTCCTTTGCAAACATAAAAAGAGTAATGCTATTCATCTCCACTGTGGATGAAAATACAGTCTATGTGGCGTTAATGTGGCATTAAATGATATGTGAAATTAAATAAGTTCATTTAATCTATCATTTAATGCCACATAGACTGTATTTTCATCCTCACTGGGGATGAATAACATTACTCAACATAATAATCCAGCACCAGCAGCCCTGGGCATAATCTTTAGTTAAGTTTTTGCAGCAACAATGTGGTCTCCCTTCAGTTTATTTTGCCCCGTCTCTATCCACATTTCTTCATGCACTACAAATTTCAATACAAGAAAATTAGGCCATTCAACAATTCAATTTCGGCTATTTTTGTTTTCGGAGATTCCACTGTTGATTCTAGCAATAATAACTATTGGAAAACTCCTTTTAAAGCCAATTTTCCACCTTTTGGAATTGATTTCATGGTAGCAGGGATGCTTTGGTAGGGTATTCGAATTTTAATGTATTTCATTTGGCATTTTTCTTTTTCTGAATGACATTTTCTTTAAATATTTTCTTGAAATCATGTTCAACGTTATTCTTTCACCGTCTGATCTCTCAAATGATTGATATAGTAAAAGATGAATGTAAATTAGCACATGGGTTGTGCTAGATGTACACCCAATCCATTACGTAATGAATTACACCCCACTCACATTGAGGGGGGCCCACGAATATTTTATCGTATGGGCCCATCTCCATGTCAGGGGGTGTAATCCATTAAGTAATGGATTGTGCACATTTAGGCTAATCTTTAACACATTTATAAGAATTCAAGGGATATAAATTTTTTTTTTTTTTTTTTTGGGATAAATTCCATTCAAGCAAACAAGGGTTTTAGGCATTTATGTTTTGAGGGGAGACCAATTGAAATGCCCAAAGTAAACAAATGAATACAATGAAGTGCTGCAAGCAAAGCATAATGCCTCCGAAACTTCCCACACTTGCCCCTATCAAAGTCTGCCAACATATCTTGCATAGAAAAGTTTTAGTTTGCTATTCTATCTTTTGAATTATATGAAGTATTTTTTTAATATAAAAGTGTTAATTATTTAAATTTTGCTACACTTGTGAAAAAAATGATTATGTTGAAGGGTCTCATAATTATTAGTCGCATAGAGCTCTAAATTCTCACAGTCGGCCTGAAGAACATTGTAGGAATCTGATAGAGCAAGAAAATAATATGTCATGCAAAAATTTCTTTACATTTAATGAAAACCTTATACATAAGCATACAAGCATGTATGTATGTATTTTGGAATCTGTTGGGTTTTGATACTCAATAAATGTTAAACAATTTAAATTATGTTTTATTGGCCTCGACCGCCTCGACCAATGAGTGAAATTATTATAACACAATCAATTTATATGCTCGACCTAAAAATAAAGTGTGTCATTAGTAGCAATATAATTTATTAATGGAGAAAATTAGCATAGACAAGGTATTTAGTTTTGACTTTTA